TTATTTAATTTTATGAATTGTTTTGGAATTTGGACAATGGATAGCCCCACAAATAGAAATAGTAGGAAGGGAAAGAAAAGTACAGAGCCCTGTATCCAAAAAAGTGTCACTCTCCTTTCTTATATTGTAACGTACTCTTTGGTAAATATTGCACGGTATATTATCAATTGTGTTTTTCCATGCAAAAGTCACTAATCACTTCCTCTCTTCTCTCTTAACATTAAACTAGTCATGTAGCTTCAATGATGTTTTGAGAATCCATGAACTGATTATGATAATTTGGTTAATAAATTTGCAGTGGCAGATGTGTTATTATGGAGGGACAGAAATGTTTCAGTTGCAATTTTGCTTGGGATGACAGCAATATGGTTTCTATTTGAGGTTGTTGAGTACAATTTTGTGACCCTTCTTTGTCACATTTCCATCACCACAATGCTTGTCATCTATCTGTGGTCCACAGTAGCAGATATCTTGAAATGGTACCCCTTTTTCTTGACATCAGACTTCAAAGTTATAAATGAACTCTTTTAGAAGATCTTCATCGATCTTGGCCGCATATATCTCGCCAAAAATGCCTAACATTATCTTGTTTGTGTTATAGCATGTCTTGTAATAAAAGTGTGTTTGGTTTAAACCAAATTCACGTTTCAAACGTGGATATGGGCAAACGCTACAGAGAGTAGCGTTGACCTGGATCCATGTTTAAAACGTGGTTTTAGGTTGAATCAAACACACTATAACTCTGTTAATCAACCAATTTATTGATCTCCGTTGATTGTACTAACAAATCACATGGTAAACTGTGAAGATGATTTTCTTATATATGTTCAATGGTCATGCATCCTGACCAATTAATCAGGAAGAATTCAGACCCTCTCTGGCTGCTATTGAACTCTGGCAGCTAGAAGCCAATTGCAACCATTAAAAATGGTTATGGTTTCTAAAAACCTCATGAAGTGCCAAAATACTCACTTTAAGGGAAATCCTTGTGGAGCTTTTCTTTCAATGACTTCTCTAGATTACACCAATAAACTACTTAGATTGGTACTCTTTTAACAGGGTATTTGGTTTATCCCGAAATCAGGTTTTAAACGTGGATCATGGTTGGCCCGAATCAGAGTAGTATTTACTTGGATCCACGTTTAAAACGTGGTTTAGAGTAAACCAAACACACAGTAAGTTCTATAAGTACACTAAATTAGTCTCCTTACAAATCAACTAACAGAGCTATGTCTTCTTTACTACAATAAATATATCTTCAGGAATGGTCCCCAGTCCCTGGAAGCTATTTTACAGGAAACTTTCTTCCAAGAACTTGCTTTCATCTTACACACAAGATTTAAGCAGTTATTAAGAATACTCCTTTCATGTGGAACAGACCTACCATGCTTTCTTCTGGTATTATACAAATATTGATTGTCTTTGATTATACTCCAGTTCACAACCAATGAGTGAAACTAATTAACATCTCACTTATAAAAATATTTTCAGATCATTGTTTCCCTGTATATATTGTCAGTGATTGGAACCTACTTCAGCTTTGTCAATCTGCTATATATTGGTAAGTACTCTGCTCCTTGTTTTCTCTTTGTCTATGATTTGATACTGAGGAATAAGTGCACTAATTAAGTTGTTGATGGTTCATTGATAAGGTTTTCTTTGTATTCAAACACTGCCAATTGTGTATGATCGATATGAGGAAGAAATTAACAATCTTGCTGGACATATGATAGTAGACCTCAGGAAAAAATATAGAAGGTTTAAGAAGAGATATGTCAGCAAAATTCCGCGAGGACCAGTGAAGTAAAAGAAGACCATATAATTAAACAATTATTTTGAAATTGATGTCACTTCTCTCACCAGAGTACTATCAAATGTAAATTGGATGAAAAATGTTTCCATGACCCATTAAGATGTACTAAGGCTCAGTGGTCATATAGGGTTGTACATATTTATGGAGAATAATATATGGTGATGATATATGGGCTATTTTTTCTTTTTAATATGTATTAGATATTGATATAATAATGATAGCATTAGCAATTTCTTGGACTCATTATTCGAAGAGACAATAAATTCATACAACAAAAATATACAACAACTTATACAACACATTTTTTTCTCTCTATATCTCTCCATTATATCACATCCCACATTTCTCTCTCTTCTTCTTTTCTCTCTTTCTCTTTCAAGGTTGTATGTTGTAGGGTTGTATGAGTATCATTTCTCTTATTCGAATACAAGTGAATCCCCTTGTAATGTTTGTTTTTGTACTTTTTTTTCAGAGTGAACTGACACCCTAGTCTTTGACTTTTATAGTGTCATGCAATTTAGTCCATGAGTTTAGAAAAACCTTTCATTAGCCCCTGACATTACTCTTCGTATTTCAATTAAGTCCAAAACGTTAAACGGTGTTACATTAGGGACTAAAGTGCATTATTTTTTGAAAGTTGGGGACTAATGTGAATTAATTATCACGTACAAGGGTTGATTCTATTATTACAAAAGATAATGTCAGGTGCCCTCATAGAGGTTTTGTGTGTAGTATCTATGGTAGAATTTTACAAAATTATGGAAAGACAAAGATCGAGCTCGGAAATAAATACAATAGTATCCTAGTTAATTAAACCATTACACTATAAAATTTTCTAATTCTTCCACCAAAATCCCAACATAAACCCCAACAAATAGAACTAATCATTAGGCTACACAATACCAAAATTGTCCAACTTAATTTCCTGATTTCAAGGTCTAATTTCTTCAGCTTCATTGTCACATTGTTCCTTTGCTCTTGACCTTCACTTAGTACAAATGACATGCTTGATGTAGCTTCACTTATGCTTTCTTAAACAGTAAAATCATTCTCCACCAATTAGAAACATTGTCATATGTTTGCAACCTGCAAAATTTCAAGCATTTTACAATATTACACAATATAAAAATTTTTAAATTCTATATAAAAAATTATAAAACAAAAATTGAGTAAAGCTAGATTGTCCTCAGTTTAGGACATCCACATAACAACCTCCCTAGATATTTTTTTTTAGTTTTGGAGACCCTAATAACTATTCTAAGATTGCAATAACATTTTGATCCACTTTACCCCATTTGCAACATTTTGCGAGGATCTTGAGCCACCATTGTTATACCTCCTTTTAGTGGTATTATTCATGGATGATATGTGAGTTTCACACAAAGAAAGCAGACATGAACATAAGTGAAGAATAGGGAAGAAGCAAAAGTGATGAGAGAAATGATTAAGAAGAAGCACTTAGAATAATGAAGAAGAATGGAAAAGTATAAGAATAGGGAACAAAAAATGATATGACCATTAGGGTTAGGTATGTTACACTTAAAAAAACACCTAAAACTATGTTGTTTCTGTCCATTGTAGCATACAATGTGTCACTTAACGCGACATCTCATCACACAATTAACATCTTTTAATGGTTTAGACTTAATTGCAAGACGGGCTGTAACGTCAGGGACTAATTGAGGGATTTTCAAAAGTCATGGACTAAATTGCATGACGCTATAAAAGTCAGAGATTAAAGTGCTAGTTTACTCTTTTTTTTCTTCTTCTATAAACCCGATCCAAGCAGCAACCATTCAGGCAAATGGCAAAAAAAAAAATGATAAATAAAAAAAATACAATATTCAATACATAATGTTCAAAAGTGTGTTATTAGTGTTTAAAAGGATTATATTCCAACCAATCTAAGGAGCTAGGTAAATCTCTTTCAATATTTTTTTGTTCTATTCACAAGACTTATTAGATTGAACAACTTACTTAAAGGAATCATGATTAACTTGTCCTTTAACTTATTTCTGAGTTCTGATAATGGAAACTTTGTAATAGTTGAAAGTGACCATTGGACTCACGAGATTTTTCTATGGGAATCCAAGGTAGGGCTGTAACCAAAAAATTGACAAACTTGTGGGCCATATTAGCATTCACAATTTAACTTGATGACAACAACAGTTGAAAACTACATGCCAAAGAGTCACAACTTCTATTCTTTTCTAGAGCAAGCATGTCTTCAAATGACTATATGATTAAATGCTAATTAACAGTATAAATATAGGCATCGTGTAGGTGACCCCTAGTTCCATATTGAGGTGTCAAAGTGAGCCAACCCGGCTCACGCGGGTTGGCTCACCAAGGGTTAGGCTAAAAGTGAGTCGAGCCGGGTTAGCTCACTTTTCTGGTGAGCTGAAAAAATACCAACCCGGCTCGACCCACCGCGGGTTGGTGGGTTAAGCGAGCTGGCTCACCTAACTTAAAGAATTATAAAAATAATAAAAAATAATAAAAAAGGCCAAAAAATTAGAAAAAATTATAAAAATGACTTAAAAAATAAATAAAAATTAAAAATTGAGTCAACCCACCTCAACCCGGCTCGAACCCACTTTGGCTAGCGAGTTAAGTGGGTTGACCCACTTTTGACCCGCGAAAATGTGAGCCTATATTTTACCAACCCAACCCACTGGTGAGTCGGGTTAGGCCGAGTTGGCTCACCGAGCTCAACTCAAATTGACACCTCTTGTTCCATACCTGTACGAAGGGGATAATGTACTGAACTGTCCTTGCAACTTTGCAAGGCTCAAAGGTGCTAAAAATCAAATTATGAATGAGAGTATTTATTGTCCCACCAACTTGGCCTATGTTTTATACAAGGAAAATGAAAATTCACATATGTTCCTTTCTTTGAAAATACTGTACACATGGCCCATGGGCCTAAGTTGCCCCTGCCAGGTCATTATTGGGGGGGGCCAGCTCAATCTCAAGCTTGTTGCTTGTTGGCACAAATGAAGATAAGCAATGGTGTATGTATAATGTATTGATTGTTTCTGTTCTGTACTTCTATGATTCTATCATTATTTACGCAAAGTAGCTATTAAATTACATGCACCCTGGCTTAATACAAATGCAAAAGATGGAAAAGAAACAATCACATCTCAATTTCATAATATATGTTGTTACAATTAAAGACATCAATGTCAAGATGGCCGAGTTGGTCTAAGGCGCCAGTTTCAGGTACTGGTCCGAAAGGGCATGGGTTTCGGACCATGGGTTCGAATCCCATTCTTGACAAAATATGTTTTTCATGCAAACTATAACTCCATAATAAAGTATATAAATCTTAGTTCAAAATATTTTGTTTTCTACAACTAGTCAACTATATACTCCATAAAAAATATATAGATCCTAGTTTATTCTTTTGGAATTAAAATCATGCTACAGCCTACTTACACATTAAATGTTGAAATCTATGTTTTCTATCTTCAGTAACATTACTAGGATTAGCCTTATCAAACTGAACATCTGAATCAATGTCAGAAAATGAAGAATACTCTGCAAAAATCCTATTCTTTGATCCATAACAAGCCCACTTCCAGGCAATCTGCAGTGCTTTCTGAAAGATTCTGCATGGTAGCTTGATGCAACAACAACACACGGTGGCTAGTGGGCAACAGACACATAGCAAGCAACAACTACAGAGAAACTCAACCATTTTTTCTTTGCATCTTGAACCAGGCTGCTGAGGAGAGACCATATTAGAACTTGAACAAGGCTTTGCAGATCTTGTATTCTTACAGTCATGCTTCTTCCTATTGAAAAATTGAACTCTTCCTTTGTCTTCAAGGGCCAGTTTGCTCCCCATTTTGCAGTATCAGCCACGGTCAACACCATGGAATATTTGTTGTTTGCAGCAATTAAGAGGAGACACTTGCAGTCCCTGTTGAGAAAGTTGACATAGGCACAACCTTTGATTGAGTTCGTTGGAAATCTTCCCAGGAATGGTTTTTGAGGTATCCCTTGATAAAGTTCGTTGTTTATTTTCAGTTGAACAGTTCCAAGTTTTTTGAAATAGTATATTTTATGTTTCTTTCTTCAATTTCTCGCTTTTATCATTAACGAATATTTATTAAAACAAGCCAAGAATGTTTCTTTACAGAATATATTATACGTGATATTCTGAGTACTAATTTATTTACTTGGGTGTGAGGGTGATCAGGAAAGGCTGGATGACCTCAAACAGAAGCAAGGCATTTCTTTACCGATATTGAATTCTGGTCACCACATGATATCGCCCCCAAGCCCTCTTGCATATGATGTGGCAACATATGCATAACAGCATATGTCACCATATCAGATACATCATTATCACAACACAAATCAATATTAGCTCCATATTTATTGTTAAGTGCTGCATTTAAATCCTTTTTTTTTTCCATATACTGAACAAAATATTAATGTGAGTACATGTGAGTTAAAGTGAGGTCCAACATAAACTTTTTTCATCCAAACTCAAATGCAGTTGCATCAACAATTTAATAAAAGATTGTTTAAACAACATTTCTCTGTTCTATAATCACATACCACTAAGTCTACGCCAAGTAATCCATAGAAAGATACTATCAAATAGTGACAATCACCCACCTCATTTTAACTGCTACATAAGCCCTCTTTCCCTCCTCCATGCACTACTTTTCTCCCCAAACGGGAAAAACCGAAAAAGGAAATGGAAAACAAGAGAAAGAAAGCAACACACTCGTTAGTTATACAACTTGCAATTTCCAGACAATCTACATTAGTTCTCTTTCTTTTTAAGCAGAGTACGTGTTTGATATCATAATTGGACATTAAATTGTTTCCCCTCCAAAGAAATCTGGGGGAGAATGACCCGGCAAAACCTTTATTAGAACAGACCTTACAAATTAATATAAACAATCAAAATGAGTTCATTCTTTGTTACGAAAACCAAATTTAAATAGGTTAACCGACCCTTCAATATTTATACATAGTTCAGCTCCCTTAAAAAAAAAAAAAACTGCTATTAGTAAGTTTTACCAATTCTCCCTCTATTGCTACACATTTAGCATCGGTATTTATTGCGCAATTCCAATATCTGATTAACTAAGCAAGTGCTCAAGGATTAATGATCCTTTAATCTTCAGTAATCAGTTTCTCAGTGATCATCACTTCTGTACATCAAATGACATTATTGGGAAAAAACAAGTAACTCTAAAGCATGTGTAAAAGTCAGCTAGGGTACAACATCGGCTAAAGGTAAAAAAACATCCGTGATGCCAAGCACTAAATATGAAAGGTATGATTAAAGGTCAGCCCAGTGCGAGTCTCCTATCATTGTGGGGTGAGGATCAGGTGTACGCAGCCTTACCGTCTTATGCAGAGAGGTTGTTTCCAAAACTAGAACCCATGATGTAACTCAAATATTAAATAAAAAAAAAAAGATAATAATAAAAGAAAATAAAATCTGGGAAAAATAACAAATTAAGGCAGGTGAATGTTCCAAAATTCATACATCAGACCTGAAAACTTCAGGCAGGAACTTGATTAGATTCTCGCAATCTCATGGACTTCGCTTGCAGCCTCTCCATGAAAGCTGAATTGGCTCGGAGTCTCTCTTTGACATATGAAGTCCGGGCATCATCTACTAGTTTATTAGCTTTCCCGGCCTCCTCAATGAGAGAGAGAAGAGTTCTTAAGCAGTCCTTTCTGTTTTCTTCACGATGTTCAAACCTTCAAAATGTGGAAAAGATTTTAAAAACAAATGTGGCTGCTTTAAGGTTTTAAGTAAATAACCAGAGACCCAACTGTTATAAAATTGAATAATGCATAAATAAAATTTTGTGCACATAGCATTTTACCTCTCACTAGTTATTGTAAGCTCATCTCTCCCTGGATGATAACGTTTTCCAGCCAATTCTCTGAGACGGCGAAATTGGTATTTTGAAAGTCCAAGCTCCTTCACTGTAACAGATAGTTTCACTTTCCTGTTTTTCGGATGCCAAGCATCACCACCAGGAGCAAATATTACCCGGGTTTGCCACCGGAGAATTGGGCCTTCACCAGGTGGGTCATCTGAATCCTTTTTCTTGTCTGGCACAGCAGTATCATCAAACTGTGGGGCCTCCTCTTTTTCCATTATCTTCATGTATTCCATTACCATCTCATCCTCAAACTTCTTAAACTGCTCATAAGCTGCTTCAGGTTCAAGTTCCCCTCTTTCACACATGTCCCCTAGCTCATTAAATTTTATTTCCACCTTCTTCTTTATGTCATCTAGATAAGACATTACAGCAAAGAAAATCATTAGAATTAACACAGTTACTCAAATCATTAAAGTTGCAAGTGATGACTACATCAATTCAAACATGCACAGACAAAGAAAATCAAAAGCACACAAAATCCATGGCATAGTTATCAATCGCGGATAGCAAAGGCTGGCCCAAAAATGCTATAGTGGTATAGCGCGTAGTGGGATGACCGCTATTCTTAAAAAAATTTATACAGTTTATATAATTTATACTAAATTCATATAAATGCTTAAAAATTAAAAAATACCCAAAAATCTTGATATACACATAATTAACCATAAAAAGTCATACGTCTTAAGCAAAAATACAAGTGCACAATGGTTCTAAACTTTCAAAGGGTTTTCTAGAAGTTAAAACCCTCTTTTTATCCAAAACCCCAAAATTACCCCCGTAAAATGCCCCTCTAATGTTAACGGCACTATAGAGCTGCTAAATGCCGCGATTTTGGCCACTATCGCGGCCACTACAGTAAACTGCAACCCTATGATAGAGCATATAGCAGCCAGGGGCTGCTACACCTCTATAGCGCACTATTGACAACGATGATCCATGGTCAGAAAATTTCTATTGGAACATGCAAGAAGTGTCAAGCAGATGCCCAGAATAAGATCTAGTGTCAACAAACAGATTAATATTCAAAAGATACCAAACCCTTAATGACATCCTTCCACACTGAAACTGGACTAATTACAAAAAAACAGAGCAAAAGCCAACTCATAGCTGGGAATGTTCTTAGAAAAATGACTATTTATGACAACCATGTATTAATTAAAGACGCACAGTACACACCCTCATATTATCCTCTAACCTTTAATTACTATTTACTACACCAGGGGATATCAATCAATAATAGTCAGATAACAGTAACATCACAAATTTTGGATTTGACTCCTCTAGAAATTAGAAAAGTAAATAGTTATGGTCATTGATTTAAAAATCAATGATTAAGATTGTATCATATGTATGACAAATTATGAAGTCATTGAAATCTCAATTATTGATCATGGAATCAATATAAACACTTACTTTTCCTTCCAAGATGACTCCCTCACTTTAGAGAAGCCAAATTCACAAAATGTTAACATGTTTACTAGCAATGGATTCCAAACCATGGCAACTAGATTTTCCCAATTATTTTGGACTCTCAAGAAAATAGAAGTCATGCTCCGATTAATCAGAGTCAAACCACATAAACCCATTGAAAGAGACAATGCTACCTATTTTTACCTATTATTTCTATTCAAATGACTTAAATCTAATACCTTGCTTAAGAAAAACCAATATCCCTAGCGCCTACTTTTTCCTCACAATGTATTTAGCTTTCTCAATTACCATAATCAATTAAAAAAATAAAACAACAAAGAAAGTAATTGCAGAATTAAAAACGGTGTGTACCTGGGAGGAGTTTGTCCCAGCTAAGCATATCCTCTAGAATCTCCTCGCACTCCTTTGTATCCCTAAGAAAACCATGCTTGATCCCCTCCTCAACAATCTCATCCCACTTCTTATCATCCATGTTGAAGTACTCATCTTCGACCATTCTCTTCATGACTATGTCCCTAGCATTATACAAATCATCAATTTCTTCATCGGTTTCGTGCAAGTCCTCGAAATCAGATTCGAAATCCCTGTCATCGACATCATCAAGGGGTTGCATTTGGAGATCTTCCAACAACTCATCGTCCGTCTCCTCGTGCTTCCCAGATAACCTCCTCTGCAAAATGGCCTCCATGATCGACGGAAGCGCATTCTCGTCACCCTTGAAGTAATTCTGAATCCGCGTTTTCAGCTCTGCAAAAAGCAAAATTGAAACATTGGTTCGAATTGCATGTGCGTGAACAAATTCATTCGATTCCAAATCGTAATGCGATACATAAAACGGCATGTGAAAAATTTGAATTGATTATAAAACCTTTGTTATCGACATCCTCGATGTCAAGGGGGGCGGGGGGTTTGGAAACGGGATTG